TATATGACTTCCCTCACTTGGCTTATATATCTATTCACTTAAATCTTTATCTCACTTCTTAAAAATAACTTACTTTGAAGTGAAGCATTTCCACAAATGCGAAATAATCTCTTGTTGTGTTTAACTCTAAGAGGAGGCTGAGCGTGATTTGCTAATATGTTTCTGTACTTCATGAATAATGCAGGGATTTTGGGTTCAATAGGTTTTCAAATATTTCTGGCATCCCATTAACTCCTCCAAATGTTACCGTCAGGTTTGTCATGTTATAATTGTTTTTTAACCTTACTAATGAGGTAATACAAAAAATGCGTTAACTTTTCACTTTTTAACAGTTGCACTCAACCTTTAAACATTTTCAACTAAACATTCCAAACTCAGGTTCCCTTCTTTTTAGAATTTGTTTGTGTCAATTTTATGCTCTATTTTTAATTTTATTCTGGCGTTTTTTTCTTTTGCAATTAAACACTCTTTAAGTTTCATCATTTGATTCAGAAGTAGCTTTCTATTTGTTTCCTCTTTGCAATTAAATACTTAATTCAATCTATTTTTTTTTTATTTTTTTTTTGAAAAACACAGTTGAAAGTTAAAGAGTAATCAATAGCTAATATTTATAAGTTGGAACAAGTATTGTTAAAACTGTTACGGTTAAGTAAGTTATCTTTGAATAACTAATCACTTTTAATCCTTGTCTTAATTTTGTTCTTTTTCTTTCAACATTCTACCAATTCTTTTCCCCCGCTTATCTAAATAAAAATCAATCAATTCAGTTTTCAAGGAAACCCCATATGCTCAGCTGGCAACTACTTAATTCAGTTCTGTGGGACCCACGACGAAGACTTCAGCAACAACGTAAACCTCACGAATCCCGACACCTGTCCTTTGAATTTGTGCCCGCCTCCTTACGAGTATGCCCCCGGATCACGCTGCTTTTGTTCTGTCCCCCTTTTTGTCGGGTATCGGTTAAAGAGCCCCGGATTCTTGGATTTTCTTCCTTACGTGGACTCGTTCAAGCACTACCTGAGTTCTGGTCTCCAAATGAATGCCTCTCAGCTGGTAATCGATTCGTTGGCTTGGCAAAGGGGTCCTCGGCTTAGAATGTACCTCAAGATTTTCCCGCCTTACATCAATGATAGCACTCGAACGTTCAATAGAAGTGAGGTCATGAGGATTGGAGAGACGTTCGGTGGGTGGAAGATCCCTGAAAGTGGATTGTTTGGACCTTACGAGTATCTAAATTTCACTCTCGTGGGTCCTTATAGCGAAAGTACGTATATATATATATATATATATCTTGATTGATTGATACACAAGTCAAAAGGTTTTATCCTTGAGATTTATCCTAATTGCATATAACACCTTATGAGTATCTAATTTTCTACTGTTGCATTTTAGTGTTATTATCTTCTCACAGTAAGGGATTCGTGCTCTTTTATCGATTTTGTTCGACGCGAGATTTTATTTGTGGATTGTTAGGAAAATTTGGGTCCTTGTTTTGTATTCTTCTTTCTTCTATCAGACTTCGATATTCACCTTAACGTAATAGACCACTTTTTTCACTTTGGAAGAAAGAATTTATTTTAAGAAACTCGTTTAAAATGCTCGTTTCGTTTAAATAACTTGTAAGTCATGTTGCAGTGTATCCTCCTCGTTCATCATCTGGTTTAAGCAAACGAGCACTTGCAGGCGTGATAGTTGGGACAATAGCTGGATCTGTTACTCTTTCTGCAATTGTTTCACTTCTTATCTTGAGACGACACCTCAAAAAACACCACCCATCTTCAAAACGACGTCCTTGTAAGTGGTGCACAATTTTTTTGCGTTGGCTTATGTTATTGGTAGTTTAACCTTATTCTTTTATGATATTTATGGCCTTATTTGCTAAGTTTGATATGCGTATTCCAATATGCATCAGTATTTATGGGGGAAATTTGGCATGGTACTTAGTTCTGGAAACTTGTATTCTTTTTCAAATTCAAATTAATAAATGTAATATGATTATGCTGTTTTCTCCACCGCATACAGGAGACAACTATTAGTGTTTTCTTTTTTCTTTTTCTTTTTTTTAAGCAAGTTATTTTCCTTGATTAACCGATTTCAGATGTATAAACTTTTGCTAGTTCGGAAACTGAAAATAAATGAATATATATACCTCCAAGTTCTTCAATTTTGATGATTTTCGCATTTTGATAATGAATTGTTAAACTGAATAATATTTATTGGTATCTAAAACTTAGCAAATAACACACACACACACACACACAAAAGTTCTGATTGTGCCTGGCCAGCTACAATATGAACTAAATTTACTTTTCAAAATTGTTATATTATCTTATCTGTAAATTATGTTTCAGCAAAAAGGATCTCCATCAGAATTGAGGGCATGAAGAATTTCAGTTACAGTGAAATGGCACTGGCAACAAACAACTTCAACTCCTCAACTGTTGTCGGTCAAGGAGGCTATGGCAAAGTCCATAAAGGCATTCTTTCTGATGGAACAGTTGTGGCCATAAAACGTGCTCAAGAGGGTTCATTGCAGGGTGACAAAGAGTTTCTTACAGAAATAGAATTATTATCGAGGTTGCATCATAGGAACCTTGTCTCGTTAGTTGGTTATTGTGATGACGAAGGTGAACAGGTACTCTTAATCAGTTAAAATTGCCAAAAAAATTTACTTCTATCAGAAAATAGTATCAAAAGTAATATTTTTTAACTACCATGTGATTTTTTTGGGTTTTATTTTTGCCGTAAGTTTGAATTCGATAGTATTTTGATTAAATTTACACTTACTTTATCCTTCATTATTATGCAAGATGTTGGTTTATCACTTCATGTCAAATGGTACCTTGAGAGATCACCTGTCAGGTAATATTTTTTTGTGTTGGTGTGTTATATGAAGATTGGAAAAATGAAATACTCTTACCCTTGTATTTTAAATTTTAAATGACAGTATTTTTACGTTTCGTGTTATTTTAGGAAAGTCTAGAATGCCGTTGAATTTCTCTATGAGGGTCAAAATCGCATTGGGTTCGGCTAGAGGAATACTCTACCTTCATACTGAAGCCAATCCCCCAATATTTCATCGAGATATCAAGGCTACCAACATATTGCTCGACTCTAATTTTATCGCTAAAGTTGCCGATTTTGGACTATCACGGCTGGCTCCTATTCCGGAGCTCGAAGGAGCCGAGCCTTCTCATGTATCCACAGTAGTCAAAGGGACACCGGTGAGTATGAATGACGATAGTAAAATAAAAATAATTCATTGAAGGGATAAATTAATTACAGAACAGTCCTCTGACTTTCCTCTTATAACAAAAGTACCTAGTTATCGTTTTTTACCACCTCAGACTCGGTGTAATTTGCCAAGCAACAATGCTTGTCAAGACTCAAGACGATCTTTGTAAATTTTGTGAAAGAGTAATTTTTTTTTTTTTTTTTTCTAGGGAGTAATAACATGAAACTACACCAATCTTGCGTAAATTCAATGCATTCTTTTTTAAATTGGCCTCTGATTTTACAGGGATATCTTGATCCAGAATATTTTCTAACTCATAAGCTGACGGACAAAAGCGATGTTTACAGCCTTGGTGTTGTTTTTCTGGAGATGTTAACCGGAATGCACCCCATTTCGCAGGGGAAGAACATTGTTCGAGAGGTACTTTCTAATTGCTCATAAGTTGCAACTTCTTACAAAAACTCTTTCATATAGTCAAATTAAACGACGAAAAAGGAAAAAAAAAAAATCATCTATTGAAGCACAGTGCAAAGTTCGCCTTAAATCCACCTTACAATTTACAACTTGTGACGGTTAATGCTCGTCAATAGGTGAACACTGCATACCATTCGGGCTCGATTTTCTCCATAATCGACGAGCGCATGGGCTCATATCCTTCCGAATGCGTCGAGAAGTTCGTAAAGTTAGCACTCAAATGTTGCCGAGAAGAAACCTCTGGCCGGCCATCAATGGTGGAAGTTGTTCGGGAACTCGAGACCATATTGTTGATGATGCCTCAAGAATTCGACCCGAATCTAACCGAGACATCGGTCACCGATTCCATGAGCGTGGGGTCCACTGCTTCGCCTTCATCGTCTCTGCTCAAACATCCTTACGTCTCGCAAGATGTCTCGGGAAGCGATCTTGTTAGTGGGGCCATCCCCACCATTAATCCACGGTGAGAAAAAAAAAATTAAATCAAATTAAAATGAAAAATATTTGTTTGTGTTTTTGATAAACGGGGTTTGCATAAAATTGACAAGTCATTTTGAGTCTTTGTACAGTTTTACCTGAATTGCATTTGTACAATATGAGCATTCAGCAGTAGGGCATTTTTTTCTTTTGGGGGTCAGGTTTTATCAGTACAAATTACGAAGAGATCGTTGGTGTATATCTTATGTTACTTCAGCTGGAAATGGAATAGATTTTTCCAATTTATTATTATTATTATTATTTTTTTATTTTTTTTTTATTTTTTTGGTGTGACCTTTGTAGATTTCCTCTTACTAGTTGATTGTTGAAAGATGAAATTATAAATTCGAAATATGAAAGGTCTAGTTTAATATATATAAATTCATAATCTTGTAGATTTGTCTCAATAATTAACTTAATCAATAATCCAACCAACTTCAGACACTTTTGCTGAAGTGATCCAGCTTCGAAATGTAATCCGAAACCCCAAATTTGAAAAAGAGAAAATGAAAGTGCTAATCAAGTTTGTAATTTGTTTAAATTACATCAAAGTTTACGTATGAAAATTAAGTGGCATTTTGGTAGTTGGAAATTTGGATTTCTTGAATTGTATTCGATTTATCAAATTCTTAAATAAATAATCAATCTTCGTATATATGCTTTACAATATTAAAAAAATATCATATTTTAGGAAATAACACGACAACAAATGACATTTGATAAAATAAGTATACATTTTTTTGTTCAGAATATAACGAGTCGACCCGTCTAATAGTTAGACCACCTCGCATAAGAATTTGTATTAAACAAGCATCGCAACTATTCATTCAACTCTTCAAATTTTAATCACCAACAATAATATAAATCACATTTTAAAAAACTAATCACATCAACCATCAAGATTACATCTCATTTCATTAACAATGACACTATCAAAATCATTGTTTTCCTGAACAACCTTTCCACACTCCTCCAAGAAAAACAATAAGGAAACAAAGGGAAAGTCATCAAAACCCGAGTAGCTCATTCCTTGTATATGCAAAAGATGATGAAAAGAGAATAACATTATAACGTGATATTCTTATTCTGCCCCTCCAACATCTTAATGAAGTACTCATCAGCATCCAAAGAGACACCAAAGGGCAAAAAGGAGAAAATACCAAAAAACGATAAAAAGGAAAAAGACAAAAAACAAATAAAAATACAATACATAGCAAACCCCTTCTAACCCCTTGATCCTATAATGACAACAAAGAATTGTTTTAGCTCTCTGTACCCTATAACAACAACAGATAGAGTTTTGATAAAAAGCATCAGCAAATATGTAGAAGTATGCTGCAACAAAACAATGATGAAAATACCCGACACAAACCTGCTTATAAACAAGAAACACGTATGTGCTGAAAGTGAAGGGTTCACTTTCAGTGACTTCTCAAATCTTCTTCCGGTTTTCTAGACATTAAGACACATTCTTTGCAACTCAAGAAATCGCACCTTCAGGAATTGTTGGGATTGGAGTAGGTGAAGGCAATGTGCCAACAACAGATTGTGTATCTATTTTGATTGGATACACTTCAGTAATCTCTTCATTGCCTTCATCAAAATATACCAGGTCCTGCATGGTCAGCTGATGATACTCGACAATTTCCCTAAGGAAACGGTTTTCTCGTGCATAGACTGAATTCTCATGTGCAAGCCTTGATTTCTCAGTTAGAAGGGTCTCGAGCTGAAGCCTTACCTGGTAAAGAAAATATTGATGTACACGTTGGATTTAGTCAGTACTTGATAATAGAACCAGATTGAAAAGCAAAAGCTTACACATGGTTATTCAAATGTAAAATGTGGATAACAAATTGTGCCCAGACAGATGCTTATAAAAATACGCAACTTGTGGAGAAAGTGAATAATTTCAGATTCGTTCTATAGTCAGACTCTTTCCACTCCAGAATATTTTAGCTTTCTGAATTGTTTTATTCTAGGATTAAAAAAATGTGATAATGTTATCGAAGTCCATAACATGTGACATAAGGTCTTATAATAATTCTATTTTCTGAACATACTTCGATAACATTTGACATAAGGTCTTATAATAATTCTATTTTCTGAACATTATCACTAGTTGTTTTAGCATATAATGTCCAAATTTGTCCATTGGATACTGGTTGTCTTCTTTACTGCTATATTAACAATTTGTATCTCCTGATATTAACAAAAGCAAATCTACTTTCCCAAAAGAAAAAAGAGGATGGATATAACGGCAGTATATACAAATCATAGAAGGTACAAATTGTACAAGCATGGGCTGCTTGGGAAAGCAGATTTCAGATTTTTGTGAAATTGATTCTCAGAGTTACAGATGAGACAGAGCAAAGTGTAGTGTGTGTCTGTCTCAGAGAGAGAGAGAGAGAGAGAGAGGGAGAGAGGGAGAGAGGGAGAGAGAGATTACCAAATCATCATCTTCTAAGCTTTGTCCTTCTTCACGGCTTTCCCTAAGCATCCTGTTTTCCTCTTCCAGCTGACCACACCGCTCCTTTGCAAAAGCCAGGTCAGCCTTGACGGTCTTCAGCTCCCTCAGGAGAAGTTTTACTTTTGCAGCCATTGCCATTGAAACCTGTTATTCAGAGCAAATAGATTATGGCACAACTAAAAAAAATGATCCCTAAGGTGGCAAAGAGATGAAAAAAATGGACCTCTATTTAGAACATATGCTATTAAATTGATAATGTGTTCCCTACCCACAGCATCTTCCAGCTGTTTATTTATTTATTTATTTATTTTTTTGACGAGGCTTTGGTGACATAAAATAAATTTTAACTATGCATAGCAATGACACCGGCTTCTCCCTGTAGCATATGGATTTTAAGTTGTGAAAAGCACCTTGAAAGATGGAAAAAGACTACAACGTGTAAATATCACTATACAGTACACACTTATCTACAATATAATAGATGCATAGCAAACTCAAAATTTCTTAATCAAGATTATGAGAAGGTTGAAAGAGGAGCTTAACCTAACATGGCTAATTAAACTTAGGGTTCTAACAGCTGTAAGCCACAAATTGTGTTGGTTAAAAGTTTCCTTCCCTAGGGGCACTCCTTTGGCAATAGACTCGTTTTGAATCTCTATATATTATCAGGAAATATTCAACACCAATAAGAAGTTTTCTCTACAATCAAACACTTAAACATTTACAAAAATTGATGACCAATACCATATTACTCAACATAGAAGAACCAAAATTAATTTGTAAATAAGGAACCGACATTTATTAGGCAATCAACAATTGGGAAATAATCTTACATCACGAGATGCCTTCAGTTGAGTTTCCAAATCAGTGTGGGTCTGAAACTGAGGCTGCCTACGAGTTTGCCGCAAGCTACCATGCTCTGAATCCTGATTCTGGGCTATCGAGCTACCACCCTTTTTCGTCAAGCGAATATTACGAGTCTCTTGAATGATGTCAGCAGTACGATTCTCCACTGCTGTGATACCCTCCTGCAAATGAGTTGCACAAGATGCAATTCTTTAGATGAATATAAAATGAAAGGCATAAAAGACAAAAAATAAAAAGAACATATAAAAGCCAGCACATCGCCAAGGGCATTATGTTAAAACAGTTCAGAAGATCTTTAAGTGCTCTAAAAACACAATGGTTCCTGTTACTAGAGTTCAGGTTCAACAAGAGGATGGCTAAAATTGCTATAGAATAAATTGCAATTTTACCTAATAATCATAAGCTATTATGATCAGCTAGCATGGATATCTCCATTAAGAACTGTAACTACACTGGAAAAGTTCAGAAAATGATGAAGCCATGCACAATATTATACCGAATTACTTTGAAACTAAAAAGAAACCTACCTCAAGAGCATTACCAATGGTGCCACCAATGTGATTAAGGGATGACTTGAGTGCACCAAGCTTCTTCTTTATTGAAGGGCTGTCAGTCTTTTGATGGCTTTCTGAAGAATTGTATGTGTCGTAATGCTACAATTAAAGAAGAAAACAATATTAAGTTATTAAATCAGAGTCTAAAATATTCGAGGTCAAATCTGTATGCTTACCACAAGTTCAGTAAAAGTCTAACAGAGAACAAAAATATAGCAATCTAGGGAATTTATAGCATCGAGGTACAAGATAACAAAGCCAAATTGGAAATATAACTATTTACAAGGATATTATCAAAGAAGAATCTGATCAGACTTTTCTATTAAAAAGAGGAAGCATGGTTGTTTTTCAAAATTGAAACTCCAGAATTTTGATATATATGAGGTAATAGAGCAGAAAATACATCCCAATTCCCATAAAATACAATGCAGTTGATTTTCGGCCTGTTCAAACTGCTGCAAGCATTTCATTTTGAATTGCTACCTGATCCCTTTTAGTGCTCCCAGACACATTATCATCATCAAGAATCGCTTTAGCTTTCTGAGCAAGATCCCTCCAGAACCCTTGCCTAGATTCATTCATGTTCTTCTTTTTTGGGGATTCATAGAGGGGTTGATCCTATATTGAAAAAGATAACTTTTGGTAAATCACAACCACAATGACCTTGGAAACACCTATATACTTCAGCAAAAACCAAATGATATCTCATGACATGCATTTCAAAACACAACAAGCGCAAAGTCCATTTTTTTCTCCAAATTGATAAGAAACAGTGTAAAAAAAGATCGATTTGATCATACACAGGTCTAACATAGAGAACATCCAATACCAGTTTTTAAGATACATTCTCTAGCTCTTAAGTCAGAGCAATGCACAGGTACATAGTAAATATTGTACAACTATCTCTATTATTTACATAAATAGACGAATCATGTACGACATTTTGATTCCACACAAAGATACAGAGTGTCATATAGCCTGTATAAACAAACATCCCAACTTGTAACTCTCCTTTTCCGGTAAGAATAAGAACTACCTTGAGATCATCCACCAACACAACACTCAATCAACAATCCATATGACTACACAAATTATCTTAAAAGCATTAACCACACCGACTCAATCCTGTCATACACTCCATGAAGAATATATCACATCTCTTGTATCAATGTCAAGCCAATAAAGGAGCCGGGATCCGCATTAAGTAGCCAATTAGAAACAACAAACATTTCTCACATAAAAAACCATCACAAATAGTAGCAAAAAAAAAAATTAAAAAAAATAATAATATGCATCGATTACATTTTCTATCTGAAAATAACCCAGATCGCACGCAGTACTTGTAATCCAATTACCTCGGATGTCAGCAGGTGGAACAGAACAACAGAAAGATCAAAGCCAAAATCTCCGAAAACCCAAACGAAATCACTCCACAAACACGCAATTCAGCTGAATTAAAAACCAATCAAGCCACATAGCACGGCAAAAATTGTACCTTGCCAGAGGAATGCGAAGAATCTCGCGGAGAGAAGACGGTGGAGTGTTCGTAGGCGGAGGACAGAGACGAATCCCTGTACGCAGCTGAAGCTCCGACGGCTCTGGCGGCGAGCGAGGATGCGGGGGACGCCGATGCATTGCCATCACGCGGAGGGGCAAAGTCGTAATTGTTGGAGTAGGAACTGTCAGTCCGGCCGACTTGCTGCCGCCTCCGGTAAGCCATCGCTGATCGCCGGTGGTCGGAAAATGGGTTGTCAACGCGAGGAAAATCGGTTTCCCGTTTTCCTCCTTTTTTTTCTTGCTGGCACCGGTCACCACCCAAGGAAAGGGCCAAGAGATGTAATGGCAGTTTTATGAAAAATTGATAATAATTGTACTTTGATTCATTTATTTCAGTCATTTCCCATTTTGCTACAAATTATGAAAATATCTTTAATTTGAAGCATACATTTTTTTATTAAATTGTATCTCAATTCATACTCAAGTGTCTAGCTAAACTTAATAAAAGATTTCATAATTTCTATATCTTATAATATGAATATGAGTTATATTTATGATTATATATTACTTTAATATAAGTTGTTGATGTATTTAATTGGATATAAAAAATTCTTATATGAGTCAACCTAACCATAGGATGGTTTATCAGTCATTTTTTTTTTTAAAAAACAAAGAAACTTATACTACTTTTTTTCACATCTCATAAAACATNAAATAATTTAATTCACAAACTTTTAGATATCGCAAATTCAATTCTTATTTTGGCAACTACATATTTTATCTTATTCATTGTGTGACTTTTCATCGTCCAACAATAAATAATGACACAATTTCTTGGAGTGGAATCTTTTTGGAAAAGATTTATTATTTCTAAAGTGACTCCAACCCTCTTATCCACAAATTCTACATTTTGCAGCAATTTAGTCCCCAAGATAAATTTCAATTTTTAAATTGTATTTTCAGTTGAAATTGTTAAATTGTAGGTGGATCATTCCCCCATTTTTTTTTTCACTTTTATTAACAGAAACACGTTTTAATTTCCATTCTGTTATTTTTTAATGTTATCAAACAACACCAATGATAAAAGAACCATGAATCCTTTTGACTTTTTAGTAGGCACACCTAAGAGCATCTCCAATATTATTGTCAATCAATGATTGTAATGTTAATCCATGTAGAAATAATGTTAAAAGAATAGAAATTTGAATCAAACTAGTATCTCCAATGCATCAATTTGATAAGAAATTATTTGTATAGGTGGACCAATTAAAATAATTATTAATACAAGAACAATAAAAAATTAAATTAAATATAAAGTGAATTGATTAGTCATCATGTTTAACGTGGTGTTAGATATTAGAAAGTGTGCTCAACATTGTCAACATTAAATGCTATCTGCCCAATTGCTTTATTGAAAATTAACTACAATAATTATAGCATTTCCCCATGATAATATGCATTATGCAATGTATCTTAATTCTTAAATATGATAAATATAAATAAGTAACCAGCATTTAAAGAACATCTACTACAGTTCGAAACTCAGGTGGTGCCATAAATGTGATAGAAGTACAAATTAATTTCTGGAAATAAATGAACAAGATAACACAAACAACTTTTTTTGGATCGCAAATTTCTTTATGAAGCCGCCACCTAATAACCATTAAGCAAGTAGATCGTCACATGTTATTAAACAAAAATGCATACTTGAGAATTCATACTTTTATCTATGTTAAATTAAAAGTATAAATTTCAGTTTAAAAAGTGTGCATATCTACTGAAAAAATGTAATTGACCAACTATTAGATACTGAAAATGTACGATTCATTCATTGGTTGGTTGAGTTGAACGTGGTTTTCTTGCTTTTGCCGCGGCAAAGGAGAATTGAGAATTGCACATGAAATACAAAACCCAGATGAAAACGCAAACTGTGGACTTTGATAACCATAAATTACACTGAGAATGTGAATTCTAAAACGGCTTACATTTATGTATGTACACACCTAGTAATGGGAAACATGATGCTATTACACTAAAACTTTCTCCTGCGAAGTCTCCCAATGTCCGAATCCATGAGCCTCACTGAAGATGACATGGGCTGTGGAGTAGAAAGCCCAACGGATTCAGGGATGTCGAGATCGACAGCTCTGGAAGGCCCGGCTATTGCTCGTTTCATGTCAGGCTCGTTCACTTGATCAACCAGGACTTTTACTTTGTCAATCTGCTCATGCATGCAGTATGAATTTCAACCACAAAAGATAACAAACAAAATGTAATTTTTTTTTTTGTAATTAGCTAAAATCTCAGGGGTACTTACGAGCGCATTGTGATGAAAGGACGAACGTGCAAGTGCAAGTCTTTGCTGCAAATCCTCTACTTTCCTCTTTTGATACTCGGTGTTCTCCATTTCACTACCTCTCTCCCCTGATTGCTGGTACAAAGCTGCAGCCACCAAAAATATACATTACTATATGTGGGTGATTGCTTTCAAAAGAACCAAAAGCAAGTTCAACCTCGATAAACTACAAGACTAAAGTCCATTTTATATCTCAAGTCAAAGATGGTATTACTTTCTCAATATAGATTGATCACGAGTAAAGACATCTCTGGTGAAGGCAGCACGAAGAATAACACATAAAAAAAAACTTAAAGTCATCATCGTACAAAAATTATTGTTGAACCGCCCAACGGGAAGTTTTCTGTTGAGCAAAAAATGTTACCTCTTAGTTCTATTATTCATTTCTAGGGTTCTATTTCTATTTCATATTTATACATTACCTAATTTATTCTAGTTTTTCAATTTTTAGGGTTTTTTTAAGGTTCGTTTTTTAGAATTTAGTTCAAGGGATTGGTTCGATGTCAAACCGTTTGGCAGGAGTGGAATGTGGGTATATATATATGTGTACCTGTCATATTTGACAGAACCCATGTCTGTGTTGGAATATCATAAAGCTTCTTTGCCAGTGTGAGAGCAGATCTCAAAATCTCTCGAGCTTGTCCAGTATCATGTAGGGAAAGTGCCAAATTTCCCAGCACGGTCAGAAACTGTGAAACGAGTTGAAGATTCCCCAGATAAGTGTGTGTGCTCTGCAAGCCAGAGGCAAGTCGCACTCTGCATAAAAGTTGCGGGACATTTAAGAAAAGGACGTACAGAGTGCAGGAAGCAAAACATCAATTTAGGATTTTCTATTTCATGATTTGCAAGAATTATATCTGATTAAAACAAAGATTTGCAGACATGTAAAATTATATAACATACAAATAAGCGAGATATTTCCAGTTTTTACCTGGCTTCTTGCAAATTTTGTTGCTTCATGAGTAGAAAGCCATAAGTATACAGGGCACAGGTCTTTTCCCGCACCCCAACAAAAGAATCTATCACTCCTAAAACAGGTCCAATCAAATCAACGGCCTGCGTATGGCGAGGCCCTGTAAGTACAAGTTAACAACGACAAACTAACGAAGTTAAGCTTGAAGAACAAGGTATGACCTTGGACGAAGATTCGGCATCACCTATGCAGAGAAACGAGACAGCTGCATAAATGTGGCACATAGCTTGCATTGATTTGCTCTGAGTCAACTGCATATAAAACAATGGTTAGGGAAGTAAAAATTCGTGACAACACAAAAAATGAATTCCAGGATCAAGGGAGACTAAAGTTGCAGATTGAAAAATATACTGAGATAGCAGATGGCATCAATAAGACTACTGATGACGAAAAAATATGAAAAAGAATACTTGAAACAACCATTCATTTGTTTAGTTCCTGCCTCCAGGTGTAAGCAAATAGAAGTACAGCTTAACGATTTTACCTTTGATGCTTCAAGAAAATGAAAAGAAGCTTCATCATAGCAGCCAACAGAGTGTGCATATTGGCCCCTTAACATCTCAATCATGCTCTCACAAGCCTGTAGGATGGTTGGAAAGCGTACGAACCAGTTTCTCATCTGCACCAATGCCTGGGGAGAAACTAATTATGTTAACCTCTTTGAAGAATATAGAAATGAAATAGACAGAGAAAAAAAAAATCCACAGAATTCTGCTCCTAACTATAATGACAGATTTGGAAATTTCGAAATAAATTTATGAGATTACACAACCATTCAAATATAAATTAAACTTCAGTACGAATCTATTCTGGAGAAAAAACTTATCCTTTTGACATTCACCTTCATTCTTCCACTTTAAAAACTACCCTATGGAGAACTTGTAAAGCACAGTAGGAACTTCCTGGCTGAATGCCATCTCTTAATCACTTTATCCTTTGTATTACAATGATGAGAGCCCTACCAAATTGAATGGGTCTAAAATGTTTTCTTGGCTATTCTCTTCCACTTATGAATTATCAACATACACACATAGAAGCACACATTTGACATTGAGGGAGATATATTTCAGCGGACAGTAAGTCAGCAACAAGAAAGAGAAGAAAATCCGAATCATAAAATGACATTCCAGCAATATTTCCAGCAATATACCAGTAGTTAGTTCACTCTAGGAGTGATATAATCTACATCCTAAACAGCAAAGAATTACAATCAACAGAATCATTCATACTAAAGCGTATTATGACAATGAGAACATTAAAATTAAAAAAATGGCGCTAATAGAGGTGATAACCAACCTCTTGCGCTTCCTTAAACTCAGTTCGCGTAAGATCAATTGCTACTTTGTTTTCAAGGAACTGCATTAGAAGCATTAAATACACTCCAGTCATCCAAATTGCAGAATGTTGCAATTCCACCTCTGGTTCAGTACATTACAGAAACAAATGTTAGTGACTCTTTGATCTTATAACACACACATACAGGGATAAAATCTTTTATATGGATCATTTGCATTGAGAAAATATCATGGTATACCCATACAATTCAGACATATAACATAGAAAATTAAAAATAAAAGATGAAATCTCACCATTAACACCATCATTGATTCCCAACTGCACCAGCTCCTCTGCACATAAACAAAGCAATTTATCTTTCAGATGAGTAACCCAACTCTTACTTGACCTTTTTTTTTACATCCCTGCTGCAATGACCTATCTTAACTTTGGAACATGCTAATCCAAAGCAATATGTGAGCTCCATTGTGAATACATTACAATTAGAGAAAGATATGTTCATAACTTACCATTGCATAAAATGAAATTTTCCATGTGATGGATCCAGCTTAGGAAACAAGTTACAGATACCGCTTCATTTACCCACCAAACATATGAATAACTCAAACCTCGCATTCTGGTGTTTTCCTTCATCATACTTCAGCTTTCAATAACATCTAAATTCTAGACGCTATAGGCAACAATTGGCGGTATGAGGCAGAACACGCACAGGATAAGTTTCTAAGACTCTTCGACTACCAGACAGTATAATACAATTTGACACAGACAATTAGAATTTCTCATGAAAATCATTTACAAGTCATTACGGACATGCTTAAGAGTGGACTGAAACGCAGGACAACATAAGTCTTATCAAAGAAGAGAAATAAAATATAAAAGCAATTTCCAACAAACCTTGAATAATTTGTAACCCAGACTGAATCCGCTTTTGACAATCCTTAAAGAGCCCCTTGGGCCGGCTAAAAACAACAACCATGAGATCTACCAATGCGTACACTGCACTTTTTGGCAGCCACTCCCCATCAATCGGTGGCGGAGCCAACTCAAGTTTATCTGCTAATGCTCGCTTGAGATTTCCAAAATACGCAGGCTCCAGGGGTGCTTTTCCAGTTGAGTTCATCCCTGTAAACTTGTTGAGTTGTTCCTCAATCTTATTTTGTTTTTCAGAAAGAGCTGATCTGTCTTTGTAGCTCAAGCCGGAACGTGACAGATTCTGATTCAGTGCATCGAGTTCATTAGTGAGGTCTTTAATATTTTGCATCTTCTGCAGGTCAGTCTTCATAACAGCGTCCAATTTCTCAATATGTTGGCCAGCAGCCTTGTAGTCACAGATACGGAGTAGATAGAATACTTGAAGAAGCCCATGATAAAACAGTAAACCAATGCAGTGTTGTCTCTTTGGAACACAAAAAGAAGAGAAAAGAAAAACTTGTTTCAGTTGGAATAACAGGTAAGACTCACAGAAAACAAAGGCATACATACTCGATAATTACAAATCTTGAATACACTTAGCTGCAGGTCTGCAGCAACCATAAACATATATAATTATATGCATACACATTCGAATATCCAAGCATCTCCAATTTAGCCAGACACAAAGAAAAGAAGCTTTTCATGAAACACTCAACTTGCAAGCTCGTTTATATAAGAAAACAATCTTCAGATAAATGCTCCTTAAGTAAGCAATGAACTGGTTTGAATCAGAAATGATCAGCAATATAAAAATCACAAGGCTCCACGGCTTGCAGGCAACTTTATCGAGTAGGCACATAAGTAATCTAACACACATGGCACATATACATTTCTATTTTGATTGGACACGTACTAGAGTAGCAACTGTGCATATATGCTGCACATGCATGTGGGTCCGTCTATAAAGTATAAACAATAACAAGATATTCATCACAGAATCACTATTATGTGTACTATGATGGGATAACTTTGACAGTCGAGGAAAAAAAGATGAAAAAAATAAAAGGAAAGGAAAGCTTCAGACCTAATTCGTTGGGAGTTCCTCCAAGCTTTTCAACTAGCTTACAAATGCATGCTACATTTCATGAAGCATACATCATTAAACATAAATTTGTTCAGACAAACGTGAGATGTGCTCCAGGAGAGGCACAGTTATAAGAGTGTCAAGTACCGGGTAAAGTAGGGAAAATGGTGTGGCTTCACTACCCAGCAAGTCACGGCATATACCGACCGACTTCATCAAAATCACCAAGACCAAGTGATCTGTTAGCCAGTCGGTCTATCTCCCAAGACAAGTAAGCTGCCTTACTAGTTTAGAGAGATGAGTTCAACACAATTCAAGTACCAATTACTTTAACACCCTAGTTACATTTCAGCACATAATGCACTCAAACATGTTCTATGTACATAGCAATCAATTAACAGTACACTGAGCAAAATGACAAACCAAGTGCCTTTTCACTATCAAAAGAAAACAAAGTTCAACCATCTATGGTTAATTTTTTATTCAATGAATTGAAAGTTATTGACTTTTCTTATTAGCCAAAAATCTTATAAAATACCAAATCATATTCAAGATGCACGCAATCACAATGGTTTAGCCTAGTGGTATTGATACTTCTGTCGGTAGGCAGAGGTTGTGAATTTGAATTCCTTTGAGTGCATGAGGTTGTAGGCCAGTTTCTAAGGCCAATTTATTGAAGAAAAAAACCAAAAAAGATGTACTCATCTGAATGTGCAATAAGAGTTTGTTACCAAAATTGGTTGGAAACTTTTATCAAGCTAGGGGCCATAGTGAGGGAAAGTAGAAATAGTGGAATAAGAAATTAAGGAGATCCAAGCTCAGACCCTAGAATTCCCATCAACACCCCTACAGAGGTGGGAATGGGATATACTACTCAAACTACAAGGCTCATTGTAGACAGAGATAAAAGAAAAAACATAAGTACTAATAAAGGACTTACTTTATCAGGCTCTATAGCTTCCCATATCATGTTGCATCTACTGACAGATTCCTCTACCAGATTCGTACTCTCCCACTCCATCACTCGCACATGCAGTATCGAAGTAGCAAAAAACATCTGATTTCAAAGAAAGGAAACAGAATTAGAAGAAAATAAGGTAGTACTGCTTGGAGCCTTGGACAACTAATAAACATGAAATCTATACCTTCAGCACATAAAGTAAGTATCTGAACAATTTTGACACTAAGTGGCATCAGGAAAAAAAGTAAAAGAATGTCATGCCTGTTGATAGAAGTTAACCTAATACAAAGAGTTAATTCTAATAATACAAGGTGCCCATAGGCATTAACAACAAACGCGTCACAAACAAACACCATATACTTCCAGATAGTATTTCTACTGAAATGTCATCTATGGGCCCAGTATAAGATCTGAAAGTTAAATGTCTCCACATAAATAAAGACAAACCTGCAATTCTGGAAAATACATCTCCATTGCACAGTTGAGTCCTTGTTCCAAAGCCAAAATTGACCCATTGTAGTCACCCTCAATTATCAGGGCATTTGCAAGCTGAGAATTGAAGTTGCAAGACCATAATTTCCCCCCAAACCTTTAAAAAATGTAATCTCAAGTTATGCCATGCACACTTGGAAAAAAAAAATGGTTTATGCATACTACATAGATGGGACCTTATTGAAGATAGCAGAAACTTATAGGGGACTGTCTAGAGATAGAATAGAAGGGCTTTAGTTTCAATCGATCTATTACTAAATGATTACATTATAATAAAATGTTTTGTTTTTCACCAAAATCATAAGATATACTAAAACCTAATATAGTGGTGGGGTTATGAAGACAGAAAGCATGTGTCCATAGACAACTCAAATTTGAGAAAGACAGTGAGATTTCAGAGGATGAATAGGAATCTCTCATAACATACCATAAATATTCCGTGGGAGGAAACTTTTGGAGAAAAAGGGGTGGTTGCTCCTTTGTAATCATTTCTTCTAATGTTAATTTAAAATATGAAACATTTTCTTTTTATTTAACGGAGTTATTCGACAACATCATCCAGACAATTAGAACAGAAAGAGCTATATACCCGTCTCCAGATATTGCAGAAAGCTCTAAACCCTTATTTAGTATCTGTTTTTGTGAAGGAATTGCTCCCACAAGATGGTAGCACTGGCTCAACAGGCTATAAGCTCTGCACTTCAGTTCAAAGGAAGAAGGAATAGACTTCAAGAGAAGTTGCTGCAACAAACCGGACCCATCAGAAATGAGCTACAATTTCCTCAGCTAGGGTAAATTTGGTAACTTATGATGAATAATACATCAGCTTGTGCAAAGAACAAAGTGACCAAGGTAGAGTCTCAACTTAGTCACATGTAAATCTATTAATACTCCAGAGAATTAATTAGTTAAGAACCACAAGAACTTCCTAATTTCAATGGACTCATGAATCACTAGCTCAATTCCTCAAATACAAATAGATATCTGGGCATCCATTCCACCAGAACTTTCCACCGAATGCAAATAAGATGGCTCAGATAGACACAAGATGGCTCTAGCAAGAAAAGGTACATATTTATATCACTGTGAGTCCACCATCACAGACAAGATATGGAAATCTTTGATTTTGCATTATAACTTTCCTTTTCAGCAATTCAAGCTACAACTATAGAAGATGAAAACTAAAACATCGTCATCGGAAATATCCAATTAAATGCAAAAAATGATAGATCCAACCATTATTTCCCGAATAAGAAAGATACAAAATCCAGTTCAGCTCACATTAAAANGAAATGAGGCATTAGTTTCCACTACAAAATTTGCCCTACGCAATCCACTAGCAGAGCAAATGGGAAGATAATTAAGTGGGGGAAAAGCAGAAAAAAAGTTAAATGAAAGAGAAGATAGGTGCACACGGAACGCTCAAGGTGTGCCTTGGCGTGGTTGACGTTGTGCGTGTGCTTGAGCAAAAGAGCGGCGACTCGAAGTCGGGTTTTGATTTCAACAATGGGGAGAAAAGAGACTGAGCTCTGGCAGATGGCTTCCAGACACTTTATCGCCTTCCCAATCTCTCGCCTCTGCTCGTGGTGCTCCGCCAGCGCCCACAGCCCTTCCGCCACCGCTTCCATCGCCGGAGCTTACTGCTCGCTCCCTTTGGCCATAGTCAAAATATGAATGCAAAATGGTCAACTATAGTCTAGATAATTTTTAACGGTCTATAAAAGTAAAATCACAAAGCTTATGAGTATTTTTCTAATATACTCGATATATCTGCATATGTATGTACTGTCGTGTATATTATTTTTTTTATTTTTTTTTTTTTTGACATTTTTGTATTTGTAATTTTTATTGTCGTATTTTTAGTTTATTTGAGCTCTTCTTGTAGTTTTTCTAGTCCATTGGCTTGATTTTGCTAGTTTTCGTGTTATTCGTATTTTTTGTGTAATTTTTGTTTACTTTTATACTTCATTTTATAATACATTGTTGCTTAGATACTTTTGTCAAGAAACCATCGCCGGAAACGAGCCAAAAATTTGTCAGAATAAACACCACGCATCAAGCGAAGTCCGAATGACGCAAACCAAATGTTTTGGAGTTTTTTTTTTTTTAAGCAACACCCATAGAGAGAGAATTAAGGCCGAATCCCTAACATGTATACAGTCAAAATCCTAAATGGGCCAAAAAATTATAGGTCTACACAAATATAACCATAACCTGCAAGCAAAAGAAAGAAAAAGAAAAAAAATAAAAAACAACTACCAAAAGTAAAAGTCTAAACCTGGCCTGATAAGTGCCCAAGCAAAAAGTCTGCTCCACAATGTGGATCGAAACACAAAATACAAGACGACTACTGGAATCTAAACGAGGAGTAGTCATCCTAGTCCATCTTCACAAGAGTATGAAGGCGGAGAGAGGCGTCATCCAGGTGGAAGGTATGCCTCTGTGGGGTGGAGGCACCTAAGCTGGCCAAGTAGTCAGTGGGTCGGTTTCCCTCGCGAAAGATGTACGAGATTCGATAGCGAACCAACTGAAGTGTAGATCTAATGCACATGAACGAAGCTGAATCTGCCACGAGCCTTGGTGGCCTGAGGTAAAAAAGGTGGCGACACCTAATGCTTTGGAGTTAGCCAAGGGCCACCGCGTCGGGCTCGCGCACGCGAGACACCTTCGAATTATAAATGACCAATCTACAAAAATAAATATTTTAATATATAGAGAGGACCAATCGACATACATATAATATTGTGTAATCAATGTTAATTACATAATCAAATTTTATTTAATGCTTAGTAATAATCAAATTGACCTCGCCCGTCCAAGAAAAAAAAAATACTATATTGAGTTAAATTAAACCTAACATCTTGATCCGTTCAATTCATTATTTTGTCATATAATATGTTGCGCATCAGCAACATTATTTAACCTATCGTCTGCCAGGATCGATGCAATTTAGGTTACAGAGAACTCGTACATAAAGAAAATCTCCCTAAAAAGTACAATATCCTTATATTACACAGGTGCTTGTTAAAAATAAATATTTAAAATTAAAAATAATGACAAAAAGAAGTTGTTTAATCTTAAATACATTTTTTTAAAACTATATTACTATTTATCTTGAAAATGAACCTTCATAAATTATAATGATTTTTAACTTATATTATACAGCAACTTTGTAGTTAAATTAACTTAGATACGCATTCGTCGCAACAAGGCGCAAGAGTCATCGTAATGGCCTAGCGCAGCCCCCTTGCCTAGCCAAGAATATATGTTATTCGAATTGATATTAATATGTAATTTACTATTATTATAAAATAAATTTAATTATTTATTTAATTTGTATGTACAATATATGTATCAAATCGAAACTCATCAAGACATGATTAATTTGATATACATTATATATATAGAGAAAGTCTACAGTCCCATTACGGAACCATTCCGTTGAGATTTTTTAATCATTGGATGCACATGTTACACTAATCTACGTGTGCATCTAACGATTAAAGTTTCCAATGATTCTGTAATATATATATGTATAAGAGAGGAAAGATTAAAAGAAAAGGACCCGATTATTAAGGATAACATATCGCTAAACCCGATCTCATAACAAAATATGCTGCTTATTGTAAGTTAAGCCCTTTGAAAATTTCAGTTACTCTGAAATACCTACTTTCAGGAGAAAACCAGAAACCAAGAAAACCACACCTGAGAAAATTCATCACAGGTAATTAATAATATAATCTTCTTTCATTTTTATTTCGTTCAAGTGTCTCGTTCCTAGTGATTTTAATGCAACCTGTTTGGAGAAAACCCACTCTTAAAATACTGCATTCGTGTACTCTATATATTATATAATTAATTAATTATTTAATGATGATTTTGAGGTGATTACTGTCAATGCAGGATTAATTAATTAGAGATGGAACCTGAGTTTTCTGAAACAGAGGAAAAGCTCAAGGAAGAAGATGAACGTGACGAAAAATTTCATCTCTTTGGCCGCCAGAAGCCGGTGCACTCGGCCCTCGGTGGCGGCAAACGTATGTATACTAATATATTCTCCACTCATTTAATGACTTTTTTTTTTCCCCTCAATTATCTGTAAATGCAAAAACATTAATTTAATGAAAACACTTATTTCCTTTTTTTTTTGGTCATATTATTATATTTAATTTTCCAGCTGCCGATGTGATCCTATGGCGAAACAAGCAAATCTCGGGTGCATTGCTGGCGGGCTCAACCGTGATATGGCTTCTGTTCGAGTGGATCGGTTATCGACTCATCCCTTTCATTTGCCACTCTCTCATATTCTCCTTAGCCTCTCTCTTTTTGTGGTCAAATCTCTCCTTCTTCATGAACAAGTAGGGTTATTCTTCTTAACTCTCAATTCACCTATAGTAATTGCAGGTTTTTACTGTGGTTAATTTTGCTCTTTGGACAGGTCTCCTTTTAGCTTTCCAGAGATTGTACTGTCAGAGGACATATGCAAAAATGCTGCTCTCTTACTAACTGAAAGATGCAATAAGGCAATAGGTTGCTTATGGGGAGTGGCTTCTGGAAAAGATGTCAAGAAGTTTCTCACTGTAAACTCTCTTCATTCACTCTCNACTTATTCGTGTGAAAAAAAAAAAAAAGAAAAAAAAAAAAAGAAAAAAGTAATCATTTTGAGAAAAATGGGGCACTTGTGAAAAATGGAAAACTTGTGATGATATTTTACAGGCAATATTTGCACTATGGTTTGTCTCGGTTTTCGGCAGCTGGTTCGACTTCCTGACTATAGTATACATCAGTGAGTGCTCGCTCTTTTCTTCTGTACAAATATTAGACCAAATGTAACACCATAAAATACATATATGCTTCGAAACTAACATATACCGAACCATTTTCTTCTCTTTTTTTCTCTGTGGTGATCATAGTTTTCGTGATGATACTGACAATGCCATCGTTGTACGAGAAGCATGAAGATCAAGTGGATAACTATGCTCTCAAGGCAAAAGCTCAACTCAATAAACAATACAGCCAGCTGGATGAGAAGGTCCTCCAGAAATTACCGAAAGTTCCTTTCATCACAGACAATAAGCAACACTAATGAAGCTAGCTCCCCATTTATGCTTTAGATCAACATGAACTTTTGTTGACGAAGGTCGATAACCAAACTATCTTTCGAACAAGGGTTATATATATTTTCCACTTTTACATTCTTTTTTAGGACAAAAATGAACATTTTTGTTCCATCATGCCTAAATTGGTTCGACTTGCTTTACAATTTCACATCATGTTGTATGATACAAGTTTTCGGTACCTATGGAATAATATGGAGCAAACGTCAATCATCTTTAGACATAAATTTTTTCATTTACGAACCTCTTAAACTAATACAGAAGCTATTTTAACACACACAACACTCACGGTTACAAAAATTTTAAAACAGCCACCATTTTTCTTCATACCTTGGATGTTTGTGATGGGAGAAAAGGGTCACACCACCCAAATTCATACTTGAGATAAGGAGCTGTCCAATTTTCCGGCTTTTCAAACTCGAGATTAACGGGATTGGGAGCTAGAGCTTCTTCAAGACTTTCAGCTTCAAAGCTCTCCTGCAAAACTCGGTCAAGTCTTAGTGTATAAAGCAATAAGAAAAAAGGAATATCTGCAAAAACTTTGGTTGTGGGTGGGAAATGGGAATGGAGTGTTTAGTGTATAACTATATATTCAAATGCTTTATTTGCTATACTTATTTAC